ACCCCCTGTACAGGGGGTCACCAATTGCGGGGAATTGGACCCCACCGAGGCAGGGTAGGAAGCGACCCCCACCCTCCCTCCCACCTCCCACCCCCTCCCACCCCCCAAAACAAAGGGGTCAGAGCTTCCCCTCCCCCATGGCACTGCTCCCCGTGCTCCGCCCCATAGCCCAGCATGGCACAGGGGAGACCCTGGGGCTCAGCACCCACGGACCGGAGGGGGCCCCCCTGCTTTGCTCTGGATCCGCTATAACCCTGCAACCCCCCCCACTTCCTTCCCCCAACCCCAGCGTTCCCCCCCCACCCCGTGTGCCCCAACCCCGGCCCGGAATCAGCTGCAGCATTCCCAGCAGCTGCCCTCATCGCTGAGATTTCATCACATTTCTTCACCAGACTTCCCCTTTCCCCATCTCCCTCCATCCAGCGCAGCACCGAAACTCCAAAACTCCACTTTCCCGTGGTCAGAACCCTCCCAGCCTCCCCAGCAGGGATTTGGGGGCTGTGTGTGGGTCGGGCTGTGACCTCCTCTCTCCCCCCATAGGGCAGTACCCCACGCAGCCCTCCTACCCCGTGCAGAGCGCTGCCAACCCCCCCGTGTACCCACAGACTGTGCCCCTCCCGCAGCCCCCGCCGTACACCGACGCTCCTCCTGCGTACTCCGAGGTGAGCATAGTTTATTTGCTTCTGAAATAATAAGAATTAAAAGCAAAAGCAAACGAACAGCACAACAGCAACTCTGGGTACGCTGAGAAATGCATTTTTCCTTTCTGCCTGGGGGACTTTTTGCTGCCCCGATCGCCACCCTCTTAATCTCTCTGTGAGAACTGAAGTCTGAGCACTTTTGTTTTTTTTTTGGAGCAGAGGTGGCACAGAGCCCCTGGGTGCAGAAAAAACAACAGGGTGGGGGGAAGGGGGAGGGAAATGTCATAAGAATCAGGGTGGGGGATGGCAGAGCAGGAGGGTGAAAGTCCACCTGGAGGCTGAGGAAGCAGATGGGTGTGTGGGGTCATAAAGCCTGGAATAACGCCCTGCCTCGTGGCTCTGTGCAGCTCTACCGTCCCAGCTTCGTCCCTCTGGGGGCTGCCACTGTCCCCACCATGTCGGCAGCGTATCCAGGTGCATCTGTCTTCCTGCCCGTGGCCCAATCCGTGGCCGTGGGGCCCATCGGTTCCTCCGTCCCCATGGCGTATTACCCCGTGGGACCCGTCTATCCGCCGGGCTCCACCGTGCTGGTGGAAGGTGGCTTTGATGCTGGAGCGAGGTTTGGGGCTGGAGGCACCGCCAGCATCCCTGTGAGTACAGACTGACCCCAAAACCCCGCGGGGAGGAGACGTGCCTTGATTTCTGACCTGGGAGGCGGGAGGGTGGGGGGCACAAAACTGCAGCTGCGGGCTGACTGTACCCTCGGCTGCATCAACAGACTGGGGGCAATGGGGCAGGGAGGGGGTCGTCCCCCTCTGCAGTGGGGCAGGGAGGGGGGGCGTGCCCCTCTGTA